GGTCAGGCTGACAAGCCTGTAGTTCCCAGTAGGAACTACTGGCTGAAGTAGGCTGAAGAGAGGTGGGTGTCAATCTCTTCTCCCAAGTAGAATTTCCTCTCTTTTTAGGATGAGAGGAAACATCCTCAAGTTGTGCTGGGGGAGGCTTAGATGGGATATTAGGAAAAATTTCACCTATTTTCACAGGGTTGTCAAGCATTGGAACAGGCTGCCCAGGGAAGTGGTTGAGTCACCATCCCTAGAGGTATTTAAAAGACGTGTAGATATGGCACTTAGGGACATGGTTCAGTCATGGACTTGGCAGTGTTAGGTTAATGGTTGGACTTTATGATCTGAAAGGTCTTTTCCAACCTAAATGATTCTATGATTCTGGGGGCTTTAAGTTTGCATATCACCACTTTTTTGAACATTACTATTCCACAGAAAGGAAAATCTATAGAACACAGAAGCTGCTAACTGTATTGTTTAATAATACAAGAATTAAAAAAAAAACCAAAACAAACAAACCCACAAAGGAACTGCAATACCTAATTACATTTAAAACATTATTGCAAGTCAGGAGGAAAATGAAAACTACCTGTAGATTAGTTATAAAGAAAAATGTAAACAGCCCCTTCTCAATCTTTAATGCAGTACATGAGCATACAAACAGTTACACTGAATAATGCATACATAATCGCATCAATCAATAATAAAAATATACTCCTCCCCCAATCAATATTTCAACATTTCCACCCCCCAAACCACCTAGAACTTCACCTAGCAGCAACTTCTTTGGTGGCCAAGGCTGGGGAGAGGAAGGCAACTAGAAGTAAAACAAAGTTAAGAACAAAGAAAAAGGCGGAAGGATTGACAACAGAGAATAATGAAGGTAGGTTTATAAAGAACAAATTATACCAGACAGATCTGATAACTTGCTTCAATTTTCATCAAACTGAAAAATAAATAATAATAGAAACACAGTAGATCCAATCTGAGATTCAGGAAAATATTTAATACATTGCCTTATGAAATCTTACATGAAAAACTAATTCAAAGTGAGTTGTATTCAAAGCATTGTCACATGAATCAAAACCTTGTTAACAAAATATGAACAAAACATAATAAGCATACTGAAACAGATCCCAAAAGTGTCCCAAACTGATCCATACAACAATGCTTTTCATGTAACGTCTTTAGCAATCATCCATAACAGGATGAAGACAGTCGTAGAAAACCAAATGCCACAGTGTTCTAAGACACTGCAAACACCACAAAAAAAGTGGTGACAGATACAGTACGAAGTGACCTAAAAACATTAAAGATACGTACAGAGGGAAATAAGATGGGATGCATCTTGGTAAAATACAAACGAATACAAGCAAGAACAATAATCCACTTTTTATCTAAAACTGCATAAGTACTGCTATTCATCAAGTAGAAATTCAACTCTAAGATCTCCAGAATTATCTGTCAACTACATGACCTGTCAATCTCAGGTTATACAGAGTAAGATTTCAATATTCACAGGAAGTGAATGCCCCAGTGAAGATGTTAATGAATGAATTAAGAATTTTGAGGACTAGGGAGGGAGGTCACTGGAATGAATGATAGCAAGAAAGGTGTAAAATCACTCACCTGCTGTGACCTTTGTCTACAGGAAAAATGCGGACAGACTTATCAAAGCTGGCAGAGACAAATTCTTTCCCAGTGGGTGAATAATCCACATCAAGAACAGCAGACACGTGATCCATATGCACCATCACAGGTGATTCAAGAAAGCGCATATCAAAAGTATATAAGCTTTAAAATAAACACACCAACAGCTTAATATCTTAACTCCTAAGTAAATGGTGCATTTTTGCTGAACAGTTACTTTTAAACCTCATTTAAGGATACATCCATATTGCAGAAGGGACTCTTTAGAACTGCTCATATCATGTGAAAAGAAAGAATGATGCATTGTTTAGGGCTTGAGGCTTTAGTTATTGGACCAGACCTAAGTTTCTTGCTTACTGTCTAAGAACAGATAGCCTCCACTATTCCCTTCATTATCTATTCATGGAGTCACTGACCAAATGTATTTCTCCAGCCACCACACTGTCCTCCTCTACTCCATCTTCAGATATAAGTACATAACCTGAACTTGGACAAGCATCTCTGAATCATTACAGCAAGCCTACCAACTCTGCAAGGTTTCTAGGTATCCCCATATTGTGAACTCCTAGTAATTGAGAGTCTACTGTGAAGTTCCCATTTGGTTGGTGCCCTTTCCTACTGCCTAATTGTCTTTAGACCAGACAATGTAGGAATCCAAGGAATGCTTGGTCCTTCAATACATAGAGATACTAGACCAGCAGAGCACACTATCTGTAGAAAAGCATTACATTAAAAATGCACACACAGCTGGTGGCCCACAGCTGGTTTGGTCTTCAGGACTTGAAAGCTCAGGTGAGGTCTACCGGTACTCCCTTTGAATAAACAAGCCCATGGATGCACAGCAAGGCATAATAACAGAGTAGATCATTAATTTGCCTGGTACCAATACGCAAAGGTGCATTTAATAAAACCTGCACTACTATATTAAAATTATATTGTAATTTAGCAGGTTTCTCACTCTCCTTGCTGCACATGAATGCATAACTGGAATTAATTCAATGTCTCTTATTCAATAGTTTACTGGCAAATATTGCTTTTTCCTTCCAAATTCCCCAAGAAAAAGTATGCTAGCATTATATTCAAAACCACTAATCCATATAACCAGCTAACACTTGCATGCGTGTTGTTGATGTATGCACTTGTCATTGCACTTATACTAACTGCTTTAGTTTGCAAGAGGACAGTTGCCCCTGACAGTAACAGCTACCATTTTTAGTTTAGCAAGGGAATTAAAAAAACAACAAAACAAAACAAACCCAACAAACTTACAAATGCATAAACAAATAGATTAGGTAGCCTGGTAGCCTTACCATACCATAACCAAAATAGGTGAAAAGCAGTACATTAGATACAACACCCACTTTCAAGGTCTGGGCTAGATTCCATTTCCTTGGAAAAACAGCCTTGAGATAAGTGATAAAATTCCTCTGTTCTATAAGAAAATGGTGATCTATTGTTAGATCACTGACTTCCTGGACAAAAAGGATATGGAGCACATTTTGCAGCAGCCTAGTTTTGAAGAGACATCTTTTTCGAGATCACATTAGCTATTCACATAAATAGTATTGTTCAAAGGTTAAAAAACTGCTCTGAGACATCGAAAGGATAAGTATTGCAGTCTCTAGAACTGTTTCACAAGAGATTTCTTTTTTTTTTTTAAAGAAATGTTCCCATCAAAACAACTGATCAGTACAATATATCAAGCTTCACAAGAGCTGGCATAAAAATAAACACTTATATTGCCTCAGACTGGACCAACAGCACTTATTTTCCAGGTCCCGTTGCAAGTTACACTGGCATTGCTTCAGCTACATTTTTTCTAAGTTACACTGCTTTCCGCCCTCAGGTACTGAAATACAGAGAAAGAGGCAGTCTACTATCAATTCATTTTTTTAAAAAAATCAGTGAGCCTGTAATTCTCTAGGTTATTACTTAAGTGATTGAATTTTAGAGCTTAAGGAGTTTTTAAAATATTTATTTTAGCATGATGGTAAATCACCAAGATACAGATTAAAAACATAACATGATCAGGATTATCAAAAAGCAAGGTGACACTTACTTGTAATCTTCATTTGCTGCAGTAAAAACAAAAGCTTCCATGGGGTTCCAACACAGTGTATTTGTCCTCATGTTCAAGATAACCTGGAAAGCATTTATACATTGCTACCTTGTTATAGGCAGTAAAATACTCCCTCTAGTTCAAAACTTCCTGTAGCACTGGAGACAAGCACTTTCTAGATACAGAGTTATGGCAGAGGAATAGTGACATGACAGAATGTTGCCTTAGCAATGTTAGAATTGGAACTCGAGAACTTCCTGTCCCCCATCATATGCTCACTGCCTTATGCGATGCTGCAATTAAATTTTCTTCTCTAAATCATCTTAGAAGCAAATTCTTCTAAGTGGTCATTTAACATGTAAACATGATAGCAGTCAACACGTACACCCGGAACTTCTGAAAAATTTCACTTCTCCATCATATTTACAGGAACCTTTAGTTAAGTAATCCATAAACACGCCTATATAAATGGTTATTTCAAGGGATATTGTCATTAACTGACGCTGTGAACCAGCACGTGCAAAGCGATTATAACATTTTGATGTTCTCCCAGTTATTACTATCCCTACATTATTTTACCTCTGAAATTGCAGCTCATGAATTCTCCAGGACAGTTGCCATTTCTTGTTGAAGTGCCAAGCAATGTGTGTAGAAGTTACTGTGTTGTAATCTACTCGCCACTGTCACTGTACTAGCAGTGAATCATTTGCTACACATTCATAAGCTTTGCTCGCTGCTAGTAAGCAGATGGCTACAAAGAGGCCAGTTTGCCTTGAAGTGGGAGGAAGGCAGCTGATGACAGTCTAATTAAGACCCTTCCACATTGCTAGGAGTGGATTAGCCAAGAGGTATTAAGAAGCTGCATGTCAGATGCCCCCACCTTGGGGGATAGCTGTGGCATAAACAGCTGGGCCCCTGTGGGAGAAGGGGAGGCAGGGAGGAGGTTATCTGACACCCGTATGACACAACAGCTTTGGCTTCTGCTGAGTCTTGGAGGAGTTTTCAACTATTCTATTTAAAAATTAATCCCATACAGTATGCCTGACGCAAAGTAGTTGTATAATTACAGAGCAACTTGTTAATAAGTTGAACAATTCTAAACAGGATTTTCCACAATGCTTCAGGCCAGCCATAATCCTACTTGAAAATCCTGAAATTTGGGTGTTTAATGCTAAGGTACTCCAAACTCATTTTTGTTCTCAGCTTACTATACAAAACTTTATAAATTTACATACGTATAACAAAATGTAGTTGTACAATTATAACTTGTAAAACAATGAACACAATCTCAAAGCAAGTTAATAGTGACAACTTCTACTGAACCACCACCCCAAAAAAAAGGATTGTGATTTTATGAGTGTGTGCATATTCTCATGATTCTCACTCTCCCTAAGTCCTCATTTCCTAGGTGACATTATCCTGTTCAGTATGAAGTCTATGCTGCAAAATACTGCTCATTTTCAGAAATTGCATGCATCCAGAATCGAATATAATCATCAGATGTCTAAAGTGATCTCTACTTCAAAAAGTGACTTTACTGAGAGGATAGGCCACTGAAAGGTCCTATGTTTACCGTAATGTGACAACAAGACTTTGTTCAGATTTCAGTACTGTCCTTCTAATTATAAACCCTGCACATATCTGGGAAGCTAATAATCAAGGAGGGTTCTTTACTCTTCCCTGTCCAAGTTTTTCAGCCACCGTCAAATGAGTACACTGGCACAGATTGCCCAGAGAGGTGGTAGATGCCCCATCCCTGGAAACATTCCAGGACAGGTTGGACGGGGATCTGAGCAACCTGGTGTAGTTGGAGATGCCCCTGCTCATTGCAGGGGGGCTGGACTAGATGACCTTTAAAGGTCCCTTCCAACCCAAACTATTCTATGACTGTATGTGTAATAAATATTTTAAATCACGCCACAAAGTAACTCTAATATTGCTGAAAAATCCAGCTCTTTTTCAAAAGGGGACAGGTTTGGTCAAAGTCCATGCTCCACATATTGCTCCATTATTTTTTTACCCAAACTTACAAGTGTTCAGTTTATTTCAGCAGTGGCATTTGAATTAAAATAATGCCTAAGAAAAGGATCGTCTGCACAGTTCTAGCATTATATTCAGTAACAACTATACAAGGCAACCTGGGCTGGAAGTGATTTAGGTTGCCATAAATACATTAACAATGGCATTTCAGAACTATCTAAACCTGCAGCAGAGCCATCTTCTGACACTATTTTTTAATCAACTGTACATAGACTTAGTCATTTCATAAGAAAAAAATCCTTATTAAGACGAGTCAAATTTGTGAACCTCGCTATCTTGGTTTATTTATTTTAACTGTGAGCACTTGCTTACAAAGAGCATCAGCCTGGAGATTTTGAGATTACTTGAACACAAAACAGGGTCGCCCAAATAATTAATCTGTCCTCCTTTACTATCTAGAAGGTATTTGGTTGAGGTGAACAGTTAAGAATGTTCCTCTTGTCATTCAACAGGAGTGCTTCCCTTCATCTTTTCCCAGCTTTTCTAGGCTAGTCCTTATTTTGCACTTCTGCAGCACCTCACCATCTTATCTGTCCCTCTTTGAAACTTAAGACTTCAAAACTCATAGACAGGACAAATGGCCAAGAGAACTACTGCTTCAGGATGCAGAAAGTTGTATTCCTGTTTCCATTAAGGAAAGGACTCCCACTGAGTTGCAAAGGCAGAGCAGTGTGTAAGCTGCTTTGCTGATCAAACCCCAGGAACATAGCAGTGCTAGAAGTCAATGACCATACATAGGTATGGTACCTCTAATAAGCAGCAGCCTTCTCTTGGGAGTTACAGAGCTCTTAGCTCTTGATGCAGAAATGGACATTCAACCTGCCTCTCACAGGAGAATCATTCCTATCCCAGCAAGAAACCCAGAAGCTACTATATCCACAGATGCACGGAAGTATTCATCAGCATTTTACTCCTATAGCAGGATATGCACCTAAGCATGCTGCTTTCTACATGAGATACACACATATATATGTGCACACATGTGTACATACGCACATGTATGCATACTTTTATATATTTAGCATATATACATATGTAAAATTCTGTTAGACTCAAACCTAATTCACAAAGGCTCCAACTACATCCTTTTAACTTGTAACTACAGACCTACAGCATTGTCTGTGTTCATTTTGACATTCAGGTCTCCAGCTGGCATCGCTGACAATTTTTAGAATCTGTGTCTCAGTGGCCCAAGTGAAACTTCATTAAAAATTGTTGGGGCACAGGGAGAGAAAGAAATACTGTTATGCCAACAACATTCCTATTTTATAACTAAGTTAAGTACCGTTCCAGTGTGTATCAGACCACTGTCATTGCAGACAGTACATAATATCCCAGAAGGATACTGAGTGTATATTCACAAGCCAGAATATTGTATTTCAGGAAGAAAACTGTTAAGATAGTCCTGGGACTCAAAACTACTCACCTTGATCGAGGTTAGTATGCATGTATGAATTACTTGCTTCTTGTTTTAAATACATACATTCTCTTAAAGATAAGTAAGAATTTCCATGTCATTGGTAAATTCCACATATAAATACAATTTTGATTCTACTGCAAAGGATTTCTGAATGCTTATACTAGGTGTGTAGAGGAGGGTTTATCTCCACGCAAAAGAAAAACACCTTTTAAAATGCAGAGCAAGGCTCTCCAATGGTGGAAAGGAAATGCCTTAGAAGTTACCTTGTTTCCTTCTGGCAAGGAGGAAAAACCAACCAAACAAACAAACAAAAAATCACACATACACAGAGCGAATGCAATATAGGAACATGAATTTCTTATTGTGAAATTGCTGTCAGGTCAGACACTTTAGCAAGAATTACAACAGAGTGAGCATGACAGCCCATTTGAATGCAGAAAAGGGCTCTTCTAACTCTGCATGGTTTAAATCCCAACAGTAATTCAAACTTAGTTAAAAGACTCAAAATTAGAGACAATGAAAACTCAGTGAACTCAGAGTTCAGAGCTTCCCTTTCTCTACCATCATCAACAGACTATTTACTTAATCAGTATGATTATTAGTGCCATAAGCTTCTGTTAAAAAAAAAAAGATTACCTTTTTTAATGGAGTTGATTTTCTCATGTCATACAGCACAATATTTCTGTCAGAAGCACAGCTTCCCAAAAGGTATGTCTAAAGAAACCAAAATGAGTATGGTGAAACAGTCAGCAGTTTACATTAGATACCTAAGCTATTTCACAAAGCTGGTAGTCAAATAGTACCTTTTTCAATCAAGGAAATACATTCATCATTCCTTCTGTGCAACTAATTATTCAGCACAAACATTTTAAATAGCTTTCCCCACTAAGATTCAGAATCCACAGAGTCTTCTCTACTTCACAAGTAACAAGCATTCCTCATAAACACTTCATCTATGAACACAGCCCATCCGAGAGGTATATAGTAGAAGATCAAATGCAATTGTTTTGCCATGGAAAGGGGGAGAAGTCTTGGTCACGGGAGTACTGGAACAGATGAGAGCTCCACAGCCTCCACATAACCACTACATTATATGATTGAGGTACAGGATATATATTGCTGTGGGCAGAACGGAGACCACCCTACTTTTCTTTCTCCTCCCTGCCACTAACAGAGACAAAAGATTAAAAGATGAAAATATATGGTACTACATTCCAAAGCAATATAGCCATAAAAATATATGTACACAACTCCCTAAGTATTATGTTAAAACACATATCAAAATCTAAATTTGGAAAAAGCTGTTAAAGATGGTGTTAATAAGAGTTTAGATCTTATACCAATCAAGCAAAAACTTTATTTCCGATACATAACAGAAACATTACCTCAACGGGGTTAAATTTTACACTGCTTATGCTATCAAAACCCCATGTCAGAGAACACATGGGACTTGTCCTTTGCTCATCCCAAATGTCCACTTGATGGCCACAGGTGGCAAAAACAGCTTCCTTCCAGTGGTGATCAATTCCTGTATACACTGTCTTTAAAAGAAAAAAACCACACACACACATAACAAATTTACAAAACCAACTGTATACATAAATATGCAAGTATGTTCTGTTATCAAAAAGATCAACAAATCATCACATATTGAGTCTGTCATACTTTTATTCATTTACATTACTGAAAACCAAGTCACCACTGCTACCAGAAACTGTCTTGTCAGATGTACCCTTACACAGTAGACTAGCTTTCTGTGTACTCACATTTCTTGTTAATTTACAATGGAGCCAACATTAGAAGCCCATTTACAAAGTCCTGGCTGACTTCAAAGGAAACGGAAGTTTTAAGGGTACAACTACAAATTTTCAGTGGGGACCTGAACAGATTCCATAGACATTACAATAATTAAAGAGTTTCAAACTATTAAATTGAAAATGCTGAAGTACGTATTTTTAGTCTGCTTTTGTCAAAAAGAAAGACTTAAAGTCAAAATTTTGTATTTAATGTCTGTGAGGTATTGGCATGAAAAGAAAGTTATTTAATGCAGACTAAGCACTGACAACACACAATTGAAAAGAAAGAGACTACAGAAAGGTCTGATCAGTTCACAAGAAAGGGACAGATCTAAGCAGTCTCTGATGGTATTTGAGATATTTCTTTCTGGTTACATGTTAAATAAGTATAATAAAAACTTGAAGATACTTTAAAAGTGCCATTATCAAATTTGATGCCATCACCTTACAACTCATTCTGATAACAGGTGATATCACACCATTTCTCTCTCCTCCAAGATCTAGATAAGAATTTGTTCAAACTTAATTCAAAAGAAGAGATGTGGGAAAATGAAAACTTAGATTACTACCTTTCCAAGAATTGTATGAATAGGTTCTTCTTCTTCTCCATTTTCCGGGCTCTCCATTTTCCACTGCTTCACAGTTTTGTCATCACCAACCTGGAAATATTGGAGAAAGCATGTACAGTTTTACATAAATATATTCTGTTTATTTTACTAGATGTGCTTTGCAATTAAATACAGGCAGCCTTTCAAAAAGAGAACAATCCATGGCATACACAGAAGTAAAGTGCGCTCTCTACACAATTTTTTGCTATGACTTCCCCTATATCCTAACTACTAACCTCATAACCTGATTTGTACTTCAGAAAAGCTAAATATATAGTAGTGAAAATAGCTCTTCTATGCTGAGCTCAAAAGAAGCAAAACCTCAGGACACACTGCTCTTCAAAACCAATTCTTTTTATTTTATCATCTTAGAATTGTTTTAATGCAAACAGGAAGACATACTATTTCCAGGTGGTTTACAGGCAACTGAATCAGTTGTGGTTGATATAAGTTAATAAAGTTTAATTAACATGGAATGATGTTGACTTAATCGGCTTACCTTTAATCACAGGATATGCAAATGGATACTTTCAAAGCGTTTGTATGTTTTTCAATGATCATCATCTATCTACTACTTTAATGAAAACTAATTTACTCAAGTTTTAATTACCTAACCATCTGTTAGCAATTTATTGGGTTTTATCCCCTCCATAGTCTTGAATAACATCTGTATCACAGCATCAAAAAAATTTCATCAGAAATAGAACTGTCAGGTTCACTGACAAGTTTAATGAATGTGTTCATACGATATTCAAATATTGTATGGCAGAGAGTAAGTTGCTCACTGGAAAACAGATGGTGAACAGGCACTCTGTACTGCTACGTTGCACTAAGAAGACACATTATACTTACAGTAAAGAACGATGTACCACAGAAACGAGCACACATGCCTCGAACAAAGCCTTCATGGGCTTGTATAGTGCGAATACACTGCCGTTTGGTCAAGTTCCAGATTTTAACCTGTTAAAAACAGAGAAGTATTCTGTTGTTGTTTATGTTTTCTACAGCCCACAAATGCAGTTCATAATTCAACAGATGTTGTAACAAAATGGCATAGCTGGCTTGAACACCGGCCAGGTTTTATAATGTTAAAACTACTTAATTATTCCCTTCTTGAAAAAACATTTTAAAAGTGCAGCTCTTTCCTTCTTACCCCTTCCCCCCATCCAGGCTGTATACTTACCATATTTTTACTTTCCCCTATTTTTTGAACTATAATTCTTGCTAAAAGACAGCAGCAGTGATAATTTTAGAAAAAAATACCCCTCTAAAGAGAAAAGCACAAGGAAATAGCCTCTGGAACCAACTGAATGTTTTCAGTCCAGCTGCTGTCCCACATTTTATACAGACTTCTACCTCTCACAGAGGTTTTTGTTTCAAAGCCCATTTAAAATTGGGCCCACTTAAAAAACAAGGAAATGGAGACCAGTCTTTATATTTGAATGTATTTATAGTATCCAGTACTTTACTCACTCTATCAGTGGATAAGAAATCTGGCCAATGTTTCATATAAACTTATTCCCCTCCTCTCCGAAAAGGTTCATCTCCCTTACATTACTGCATGACATATACACCTTCTATAAAAAGCAGAAAGCAACCAGCTACCCAGGAGACACCTTTAAAATATACAAATGAACAACGTAAGGGTGAGAGAGGACAGAAGGCAGAAAAGACAGGAAATTTTTTTCTGCAACTGACTCTAATTAAAGTGTCCTTGCTTGCTATTTGTAATATTTATGTAAAATAATGAAACAAATACAGAGTTAGCATTTGTTAGGCAATATGCTAAATTATTATTACACAAAGTTTTCGGTTGTGTGCCCATTCCCCCTAGCTCATCTGACTTCATGTAATTTTTATCTGCAGCACTTCAATTTCTTCAAGGGGAGGAGGAGGTTCACACGGGCATCAAACAGCAATCACTCTGGACTGTAAATATTAATATTCACTGCTCCATCCTGAGGCACTGAATATCACACACTCTGCTCACAGCTGAAAGCTGCTGCCTTAAGATTTTTGAAACCCTTTGTGTGCTGGGAGGTTACAACCTGCAGTTTGAGAAACACTGCCCACCCTTCTGAGAGAAGATAGGGTATCATGCTGAACAAAGACACAAAAGAAAGGTAAGCAAGGCACATTTAAAACCAAACCAAACCAAACCAAACCAAAAAAAAAAACAACACAAGAGAGGAAGAAAAAGAAAAGAAGGAAGAAAGGTACCTTCTTTGTTGTGGTTTGTAACTGCAGCTTACCTCTCCATCACAAGCTCCAGACAGCACTGTAGACAAACTCTTTGGATGTTTGGCCATGCAATTAACTCCATCTCTGTGGCCATCAAGTGAGCTAAGAAAGGGTTTTGCAAACACGCGTTCTAGCTTTGTTGCATTCAGAGCTCTTATGTACTCTCGTGGAACCTCAAATGGATGCAATGCAGGGTCATAGTTTCTCGGAACTGCAATAAGAGTAACACAGACATTAGAGACTCATGTTCAAGCTAAGCTGAATTCAGCAGCTTTCTCTTTCATTTTCCTGCCATGGGAGAATTTTCGGTAATGCCAAGATTTTTGTTGTTCCTACTGTTTTGAAATTGATCCATGGGATCATTAGTATGCTCACTTAACAAGCTCGAAGTTAATAGAGTCTGAAATAACTCTGAAATTATTTTATGCCCTTTTCAAGGGTGCACTGCTCAACCAATGCAGATATGAATGTACACAACAAACAGGAAGTTGCAGACATCTTCCAACCATTATTTAAAAAAAACCCCAAACCACCACAAAGCAAAAAAAAAAAAAAAAACCACCAACCAAACCAACAAAACAACCCCAAACCCCACAACACCAATCTCCTACCACTAAACTCTAACAAAGACAGAAAGGACATGGTTACATGGACATGCACAAAGAGAGGCAACCTAGCTCACTTCATGTTTAGACAGCTGCAAGCCAGCCCTGACTCAGAAACAAGACTCATCAGTTTCATTAGCTTGGTCCTCCACTAGCATGATCTGATTTCCCAACAGGAATGCTCAAGCTTCAAGCAAGGGTCCCTCTGCATCCACCTGCATAGATACACCTGTGCTGGTTGTGGCTGGGACAGAGTTAATTTTATTCACAGCAGCTACTATGGGGCTGTGTTTTGGATTTCTCCAGGAGACAGTATGGATAATACAGGGATGTTTTCGTTACAGTTGAGCAGTGCTTACACAAAGTCAAGGTCTTTTCTGCTTCTCACACCACCCCATCAGCAAGCAGGTTGGGGGTGCACAGGAACCTGGGAGGGGACACAGCCAGGACAGCTGACCCAGGCTGGCCAAAGGGATATTCCTTCCCATATGACATCATGCTCAGGATATAAAGCTGGGGGCAGAAGGAAGGGGGCACACATGTTCAGAGTTATGGCATCTGTCTTCCCAAGCAACTGTTACGTGATGAAGCCCTGCTTTCCTGGAGATGGCTGGGAAGTGCTGAATGAATTACGTGTTTTGCTTTGCTTGCGTATGCGGCTTTTGCTTTCCCTATTAAACTGTCTTTACCTCAACCCATGAGTTTTCTCCCTTTTATGCTTCCAATTCTCTCTCCCATGCCACCATGGGGGAGTGAGCGAGTGGCTGTGTGGTGCTGAGTTGCTGGCTGGGTTTAAACCACAACAATATCGTACAATAAATTGAGAAAGACAGTGGATATGGACCCTGTGCTGCTGTGTTTTGTCTCATTCATTCAGTTTTCATGCAAAAAGGTTGAAAAGTCAGTAGAGCAACTGACACTAGATCACTCATTAAGAATTGATAACTAGGTCAGCCTGCTGGTTTTCAAAGACTATTCAATGCATATCACCTTCTAAAGTCATTGATGAAATAGAGTTGGGTCTGACTCTGTAATGACAGAGAATTTGATTTAACAGTTTACACATAAATCACACTTAGAAAATTAAGATGTATTCAGCCACTGTCCCAGTGGGTAACTTCAATAACATTTTTCCATGTTATAAGTATGTTACCACAATTAAACACCTAAAGAATGCTAGTTATAGTGCTACTTCACACAACATAGCCACCTACTTCCAATTCAACCAAATAATGAAGTACATGCAATTTAAAATACTATAGGTGTACTGTGCTGCTCAAAATTGTTTGGTTTAGTGCATCTAAGACACCCAGAATTTTATTCCTGCTCTTTCCGACAAAGGGTAGACATTTTACAAACTTAATTTCTGACGCTAGGTAAAAACTAAACCTCATTTCTATCATGTTACAGAGGTGAAATTGCACGACTGTAAGATCAGTTTTCCAGAGAATGAGCAGAGCAGAAGAGAAGGCTCTGGGGAGACCTTACTGCAACCTTTCAGTACTTAAAGGAGGCTTATAAGAAAGATGAGGACAGACTTTTTAGCAAGGCCTGTAGCCATAGGACATGAGGTAATGGTTTTAAACTAAAAGAGGGCAGACTTAGACTAGATAGAAGAAAGAAGTTTTTCACCATGAGCGTGGTGAAACCCTGGCACAGGTTGCCCAGAGAGGTGGTAGATGCCTCACCCCTGGAAACATCCCAAGTCAGGTTGGACGGGGCTCTGAGCAACCTGCTCTAGTTGAAGATGTCCCTGCTCATTGCAGGGGGAGGGGACTAGATGAGCTTTAAAGGTCCCTTACGACCCAAACAATTCTGTGATTCTCTAAACAGAGCATGGAAAGTCATATTCTTGTCTACCAGGCTACAGCTGCATCTAAAAACAATGTGTAAAATCTACACGATTTTTGCCCCTTTTAATAAGGAACATGCAAGAAGTGGGATGAGTTGTACTAGGAAAGAAACACTAGCAAGTGCAAAAGGTGACTAAGAGTAACCTAGATAATACTCAGCGCAATCTCGGCGTGACTGAAATGAACGGTGGCAACCCCCCCCAGCTCCCCACTCCGCCTCCAACGCCGTTCCCAGACCGCGCTGGCACCCCCAAAATCCAGACGCAGGCTCCTGCC